GTAAATTATCACCTTCTAATATCGACCCTGAAAGTTATTTACAGCCCACTAAAACAGCCTTCTCCTTAAAGGCTCTTAGTGTCACAACTGTGTGTGAGCTACTAAGTCAGCTTGACGAAAAGAAAGCCATGGGATTGGACGGAGTTCCTTGTAAACTTCTGAAATTAGCCAGTTCCATTATTGGACCATCATTAACGAAAATTTTTAATAGCTGTATAGAAACAGAAACCGTTCCAGATGAATGGAAAATCGCCAAGGTGACTCCTATCTTTAAAAAAGGATGAAAATCTGACCTGAATAACTATAGACCAATTTCTCTATTGCCAATTGTCTCAAAGCTATTCGAGAAAATTATCTATCAACAACTCTACGATTACCTAGATAAAAACAAACTCTTGAATACTTATCAATCCGGCTTTCGATCGCTCCATAGCACCATGACAGTGCTCCTTGAAACAACGAACAACTGGTCTATTAATATACATAACGGCCTTTTAAATGGTGTGGTATATATCGACCTTAAAAAGGCTTTTGACACCATTGACCATGCAATTTTGTTACGTAAACTTGCAAACTATGGACGTGATCTGGGTTCCCTACGATTCTTTGCCTCCTACCTAGGTAACAGGATCCAGAAATGTTATGTTAATGGCGTATTGTCCAGTGCAAGCGAACTAAGATGCGGAGTCCCACAGGGTAGTATTCTCGGTCCTTTGTTCTTCTTAATCTATATAAACGATCTTCCAAACTGCCTTAATACAGCATGCGCTAAAATGTTCGCAGATGATACAACTATTACCACTTCTGGTTCCTCTCTAGCTGACCTTGAACAAGAGACTAACTTAGAACTACTGAACCTTCACTGTTGGCTAAAAGCCAATAAGCTTAGTCTTAATGTTGCGAAAACCGAGTTTATGGTTATTGGCTCTCGCCAGAAGCTTCTTGCGGAAAGCCATAACAAAATAAATATCAAACTAGAAGATCAAGTTATCAGCAATGTTGATCACGCAAAATCATTAGGTCTCATTGTCGACAATCGGCTTTCCTGGTCTAATCATGTTAACGAATTGTGTAAGAAGGTAACTTCGGCTATAGGTGCCCTTAGACGTATCAGGCCCCTTATCTCCCAATCTACTGCGGTACTCGTCTATAACTCCTTAATTCAACCTCACTTTGATTACTGTAGCCTCGTTTGGGATGGCTTAAGTGATCAACTAAGTGACAAATTACAAAAGTTACAGAACCGTGCAGCTAGAGTAATTTTAAAGGCCAACTATGGGACTAGCTCCAGCCTGCTTCTTGATATACTCAAATGGGACAAATTAGTTATAAGGAGAAAGAAGCATAAAGCAATAATATGTTTAAATCTCTAAATGAACAAGCTCCAGTGTACTTGCAGAACCTATTTCACGAACGAAGCACAGACTATGATTTGCGCAATTCCTTTCATAAATTGACGTTGCCCAGGCCGCGTACTAACTACTTGAAACGAAGTTTCAGTTACAGCGGTGCTTTGTTGTGGAACTCTTTACCCGAAAATGTGAGAGAAATTAAATCAGTCAGGAAATTTAAAGAGCAAATCAATCATCTATTTGAGTCGTCGGACTCTCACTCGGCAGTCTTGTAAAACAGTATGTCGATAGTTTTTAGTCTAATTAATTACAATTAGATTTTTACTCTATTATTACTGAAGATTTTACCGAGTTTTAAATAAAGAATCTACCTACCTACTTATTAACGTTCAACTAATTCCATTCAGAGATCATTTGGTTTTCTCACTTGTCACTCATTAATATAAAATCTACATAGGTGGGTTCCACAAACATGTCATACAAAAATATATACTGAAAATACCGTCTTATGAAGTACGATAAATGCTTTTCATAAAATTGGCTTTACTGTGTTTGAAATCCACCCAAACCTTTATCTTGATTTTACAAACATAAAAATACAGTGACATAGAATTCTTTTTACATACCAAAGTTATAAATGATTTCTCTAACTATTTAATCCGAAATGTCTAAAATTTGTCTTCTCTACAAAATGAAATTATATTCGTGTTGTTGATCTATGAACGTTAAACTGCTGTCATTAAGGGAGAATTTGATTTCTCCGCTTTTCCTTTCAATAGAAAATATTTTAAAAAATCGGTTCTCCGAACATGTCTTACAAAAATATTGAATATACTGTCTAAGTAGTAGAATAAACGCTTTACGTAAAATTGAATTTACTTTGTTTTAAATCCACCCAACCCTTTCTTTTCGAATTATCAGTGCTAAATACATGTATAAGTTCAAAACTCTGAACAGAGGGCGCGAATCGACTCTATTCGCAGACCAGATAATCATAGGAAGGAGCATGTATTCGGGTCATTTTCCAAAAACCTAGAATAGCTACTCAGTTTCTGAATTACTTTCACTAATTAACTACTTGAAGGACCCTTCTCAAAGTAACTACAAATTATAAAACTATCTGTACTTTACAATAATGTAGGTCTTTTCTTATCTTCCCTAAATATTCGTTGAGGCTAGACTGATTTGTTTTAACCTCCTCTGATCATGAGATTAACCAACTCATTTAAACTACTTAAAAGTCCTTACTGATAAACGTTTTTTAAGTTGGCAGTTTTCTTCTCTTGAGGCAAATGAGTATACTTGTAAATGTAGTCAAAGAATTGCATGGTTCTGCCCTGGTTCTGCATCTTGAAGATGAACTCAGCTCGGGCATAGATTCAGTTTTGTTGTTAAGTCAGAGGAGATTTTGCTCCACAGGAGATTGACTTTCTTTCTAATTCTCTAAGGGAAACAAAGAAATAACAAACAAACTGCAGGTTAAAGAAGACAAGCAAAAAGCGAAGGACACAAACGACAGTACAGTTCGTTGGACCTCAGACACTGTGCTTATCAAGACATCTCATCTAAACCTATATGAGTAAAGACGATTTAACTTAATCTAAAACTTGGGATCTAAAGCAAGAGCGCACATGAAGGCAAACTCTTGAAATGTCTCAGAAAGTTAGAGTTAGGTATACCTTGATGACCAAGAGAGAACTCTCTTGTTAATAACTTAAATGCTTCATATAGGCTTTGTCTAGACTATGCCGACAGAAACCTATTCAATCACTGGACGATGCACTCTCATCACCGGCGCGGCGCAGCTTCGCCCCGATACAGAAATGGCGCCAAAATCACCGTTGTTATGTGTCAACAGAAGCCCTATCCGGTACGATTTTCGTGCCCGCGCAAAAGCTGTGATCCGTATGATAGTGTGAGCATAGACTTAGT